TGAAATTAAATAGATTTTCTAAGCTAATTTTTAGGCGTACTAAATATGCAGGAAAAAGAACATTTTTGTGTACAAGTACGAATTATGAAAAGAGCTTTCATAATTTACTATGAACTACATTGTTAGTACCTGTCTAATCTTTATTTTTCTGTATACACACGCCGCAATGTTATCAAAATATTACATTTCGGATAAAAGCTACTTCTCTGCTGATATATGCTATATGTATTATTGATTAAAAACATACTTTGATCTGCATTATCATCTTAAATGGAATTCAAATGACCGCAGGTGTGTTTCTCAACCATAACAGTTTAAGTGTTCTTGTGGAATGATTCTTTGAACTACCATGGTGCATTTGTATGATATCTGTCAGCTGTTTAATTGTGAACTATAGTTCATGAACACATACCACTAAAACAAAATAAAGTATTGCGTATGAATGTTTAATGGTAATATTAAACGATTTTTTTTTTCAATTATACTTATGTGTTAAAACATTATTTGAAATTATTTTACTGAAGAACCAATGGAAGCAATCAAGAATCAAAATAGCGTAACTATAATACATAAATATTTAAACTAGAAATAACACAACAAAATGTATACGAAATTTCTTTGAAACCAGCATAAAGTTCAAAGGAATTTAAAACTGTAAATGTATATTTTTGTTTCAACACTTTTACTAATATGTATGATGTTAAGACAGATTTTTATATAGAAATACAGAGAAAATTGAATTTTTTTCTCAATCGTTATTTTTTTAAAGTTATTATGTATTTGATCGATTAGCAGCATTTATGATAACTTTAGGTAAAAACAGTCGTATCAAGAGACAATAAACTTTCATTTGTTTTAATGGCTTCCCACTATTTACGTAAATTAAGAAAACTAGTACTTTCTTAAGCTCATCACATATGAATCCTTCAAATTAGACAAAACTTAATAATCTAACAATTATGTTGCACACTAAAACACGTGTAATAAGACTATCTTACAATATTTTGGAGAGGAATAAAGTTCAGCAAATTATTTCTGTTTGATGTGATTTATTACCGTAAATAAGGTAGATACAAAAGGTATGGTAAGTTATAACAGACTAGGCCTGCATTTACATAACACTAATTGTTACATTATTCTTATTAAATAGATAAAATCTCAGAGCAATTAATGTTTGAAAAAAGATTGTTTCTAGATCAGTTTGTTAAATATTTCTTGATTACGCTAATAAACATCAATAAACGGTTATCAAAAATAAAAGTTATCGAAGCTCAGTAGCTAAAGCAACTGCATGTATATGTTAATCACTTTATAATTCTGAGAGATTAACAAATTATGTTAATTAAACAACAGTAGAAATGTAATAGGCAGAATCCTTATTAATATACTAGATGGACTTTCGTGTTATTAGGCACCTCTCATCTTAAACTTTCTTAATACAATACCAAGTATAAGCTTTTTTTTTTAGTTTTGATATTCAGACAGCTTGAATAAATATGTTGTTGTTGTTGTTGCCATTTTATGAGACCTAACTGACATGCGGTATGAGGTCTCCGCAAATATTAAAGCAAACATTCGGTGAATTCGAAGAGGTAGATTCAGAGCAGACAACCAGAATGATATGATGGGGCAGTGTAATCAAAGAAAATGAGCAGACAACCAGAATATGATGTGGCAGTGTAAACAAAGAAAATGAAGTGGATGTTCAGGGATGGGGTAAAAATTTGATATATATATATATGAAGGAGTTCGAAACAAAGTATTATTTAAATAGACCGTCATTGACTAATTAGCATGGATTATTAATTTGAACAAGGAGAGTGTGTCCTAGGCAGACCAATATAGATGTATGTTATCGAATAGATCGAAATATCAGTATCAGTTTGACATAAATTCAGTATGCTTATAAAGAATGTTAAATGGATGGAAATGAATTATGTCTAGGCAAATAATGACTTTCAACTAAACACAAAATAAAAGAGTTAATGTAGATCATCAGATAAATATTATGGAGTGACATCAAAACACATAATGAATATGATATTAATGGATATGTCCAAGGCACACAATATACTAAAAGTGGTTTCACCAAATTGCACTGCAAAATGGTAGGACGAAAAAAACTAAGACAAACATTAAATTGATGGTAGAATGTTGAGATACTAGGAATTATACATATCTGATGTGTAAAGTTGTTGGTGTGAAACAGAATATGAACTGATAAAGATTAAAAGTAAACCAGTCTAATAAGAATATAATGTCAAACAGACAGATCAATCAAATGAGAGAGCATAATATCAAGAGAGGTTTTCAACTGGTTGTTAAAGGTTAGAATCAAGCTATAACAGTAGCAAATCGAAAAGAAATTAGCAGTTTGCCTCACGGGATAGATTAAATGAGAAAGCCATATTATAAATCGTATATTTAGGTATGAAATCAAGTAAAATGTTTATCTGGGTATGCATTTGATGAGATAAAGGACACTACTAGTTGAATTATAAGAACTGAAACAAGGTAAGGTGTCAGTTGGATATGAAGGAAGATAAAGGACACTATTAGTTGAATTATAAGAACTGAAACAAGGTAAGGTATCAGTTGGATGAGATAAAGGACACTATTAGTTGAATTATAAGAACTGAAACAAGGTAAGGTATCAGTTGGATGAGATAAAGGACACT